GGGACGCACCACTACCAACGGATTGGCAGATTGAAGGGGCCGAAGTACTACGCCGCCTAAGAAATCAACAGTGCTGGATCTGCGGACTAACCACGCACCAAGCCAACGATTGCGACTGCAATGGAAGAGTCACAATCTCGGGACCCCGAGCAGATGAGATTGCCTGCAGGGCTGCCCAGGAACAACCCAGGTTCAAGGAACCTGATGACGAGGAGACACCTCGGACGTTCAAGGAGCGGATGGAGCAACACGAGCGCCTATGTTGGGTCGACTGCCCAAGACAGTGTGATTACCACTTGAGGAAGCGAGAAGAAACCAGAGACAACGAGGACGATTGCTGCCATACCAATTTATGGCATAACGAGTGTCGCGTACAGCATTGCCACATGCACCAGCCCGGAGAAAAGGAAGCTCACGAAGAGTTGTGCTGGATCAAGTGCACGATCAATTGCCAATTCCACAAGGAACAACGACGGAAAGCTAGAAGGGTAGACGATTACTATCACAGCACGATTTCCGCGGAAGAATGTATAGCAAAAAACTGCAGAATGCATAGGGCCCAAGTACGGGAAACGCCAGTAGAGCACAATAAACTCCTATGGACGCATTGCAGGAAAGGATGCGCTATGCACCGACAACAGTTCGAGGATGCTCGACAGGTAGGCAACCACTACCATAGCACCCTATCAGCGAACATTTGTGAGGTAAAGGATTGCCCGATTCACAAGAGCAGGAAGCCGGAACCAAGGAAGAGGACTACGCAACGAAAGGTGCCCCATGAGAATATCCATTAGAGCTTCTGCTACAACGACCAGTGTACGATACACTATTCCGCCAAGGCAGGCGAAGGCTACTTCCTAAAGAAGAAGGGAAGCAGACAGTCAAAAAACTAGGATGCCACCAGGGACAGGGTCACGCTGGCAAAGGCAGTCCTAAAACGACCCTTAGACAAGTACAGGAAGAAGGAGCAAAAGAATTGCAATTGAAAGCCACAGTACTTGTAGACGGACATGAGGTGTTAGCGCTCATAGATAGTGGGGCCGCACGAACCGTCATATCGCCACGAGTAGTGGAAGGAAACAACATACCCTATCGGAACAAGAAGGTACCGATGCGAGTGGTATTAGCCGACGATAGTCCCACGACATACGGGAACGGCTGGATCCGACTTGAGACCGAGGCAGTAACGTTACGCCTGGCTGGTCAAGAAAGCCGAGAAAAGATTAGCATTATGGATCTTGGAGAGACCGAGATGATAATTGGCTACGATTGGTTGTTGAAGCACAACCCTGCCATCGATTGGCAAAAGAAGACATTACTCAGCCGAGAGCCTGTGCACAAGGTTGCTAGAGTACGACACGAGACACGCCCGACGAATCAGCGCGCAACCCAGGACGGGAGATTCGGCATGATCTCACCGCATAAGATCGCGAGAATCTATGCGAAGGACCCTCAGAGCGTAGGAGTCATTTGGATACGGCAGATCGCGACCACGAAGGAAGGATCGGTACCACAGTTGGCGATTCCAACAGAATACCAAACGGACGAGTTCAGAGAACTGTTCGAGGAAAATGAGGCAACGGACCTAGCAGACCATCAGGATTGGGATCACGAGATTATCCTTGATGAGGGAGCTAAGTTGAGCCTAGGACCAATGTACCCTATAGCGCCCGAGCACGATGCTGAGCTGCGGGATTACATCCAAAAGAACTTAAAAAAGGGATTTATCCGACCGGGATCAGGCCCGATGGCCTCACCCATCTTGTTCGTAAAGAAACCTAACGGGAAGTGGCGACTATGTGTCGACTTCAGAAGGTTGAACAGCGTAACTCGGAAGAACCGATATCCCTTACCACTCATTACAGAGCTCATGGATCGACTCCAGGGAGCTAAGTGGTTTACGAAGTTCGATGTTCGGGAAGGATTTTACCGAATCAGGATCAAAGAAGGTCACGAATGGATGACAGCGTTCAAAACGAAGTACGGACTCTTTGAGTACACGGTTATGCCGTTCGGATTGACGAATGCGCCGGCAACCTTTCAATCAGTCATTAACAACGCTCTCCACGAGTACCTCGGAATCTTTGTCACCGCGTATCTGGACGACGTACTAGTGTACTCCAGCGGCACACGCGAAGAACATGTCGAGCATGTTAAGAAGGTCTTACGGAAGCTTAAGGAATACAAGCTATACCTTCAACCAGGAAAGTGTGAATTCTACACACAGGAAACGGAATTCCTCGGATTTATTATATTAACTGAAGGCGTGAAAATGAACCCAAAGAAGATACAGACTGTACAGGAATGGCCAAAACCTAAAACACTTAAGGATATTCAGTCCTTTTTAGGATTTGCGAATTATTATCGAAAGTTCATCAGAGATTACTTAAAGATCACAGCACCCCTTACGGAAGTGACAAAGAGGGAAGTAGGTTTCAAATGGGAATAGGAACATCAAGAGGCTTTCGATCGAATCAAGCAGATATTCCTGGAGGCGCCAGTACTTGAGATGTACAGCCCTCAACGACCCACCAGAGTCGAGACCGACGCGTCTGACTATGCACTCGGAGCTGTATTGTTACAGCAGTGCCTAGATGGAAAATGGAGACCAGTGTTCTACCATTCACGAAAGTTCTCTGGAGCAGAACTTAACTACGATGTTCACGATAAGGAACTACTTAGAGTAGTCGATGCCTTTGAATAATAGGAAGTGTACCTACTAGGACTCCCCGAACAGATCGAGGTTTTTACCGATCACCAGAACCTGACGAGTTTCATGACAACGAAAAAACTCAACCGACGACAAGTGCGATGGGCAGAGATGCTAGCCCAGTTCGACTTCAAGATCACGCACCGCGCAGGAACACTTAACGGAGCAGCAGACGCTTTAAGTAGAAGATCTGATTTGCGCGAAGAGGGTCATAAAGAACCACATGACGCCTTACTCAAGACAATGCCCGATGGCAGTCTGAAGTATAACCAGCCGGAACTAGCTAAGGTAGCTAAGGTGGCCGAGCAGGTAGAAACGCTACAACAGCAATGGCAGCAGCGAGCAGCCAGCTGGCAGTTCGAGCCCGACGAAGCAGGCTCCGACGAACTGTTGAACGATGAACGAGAGTACCGAGATATGATTTCGAAGAATCGAACATATGTACCTCCACGCATGAGATCGAGTCTTATACAGGAACTGCATGAGTCCCAGGAATACGGACACGCAGGGATCGAAGAAATGGTTAGACGACTAGCTAAGGTGTTTGCGATACCACGCTTGCGAGCGAAGGTGCAGGAAGCACTAGGCAA